GGGCGGGTGGGCAACATCCGGCCCTCCAGCTCTTCTTCAACTACAAATCCCAACATTCCTTCTCCTCTGGGAGTCACGCCCGTCACTGTCAGTCTTGCAATGTTGACCAGTTTGGTGGAGGAGCCCGAGTGTCCCTACAATCCCTACTGACCACCTCCGGGATGAGTTGGAACGCTGATTGTGAGCCCGGGTCTTCTCATCCAACATTAGCACCGGACCTCACACATGGGACAAATTCCCCGCAGACACCCCCCAAATCTTGTGGAAGCCTCCCCAGGAGAATGGAAGATTTATAGACACGAGGGGGGAGGGGGAGGGGGAGGAAACTCCATATTATTGGTTTTGGAATGTAATATCCAACAAGCTCATACAGGTGAGGTGGTCGGGTGTTCACAGACTTCCTGTACACTATATACACTGCCGGGCTCTATATGCTCCCTACTATGTACTATACTCCGTCATGTATGTTATACATAATACCGTGCGTGTAGCCGACCCCGGAGCCCATGTCCTGATCCCTGCGGTGCCTGGAGCTCATCGCCGTGTCTGACATGGAGACCTTGTCACTTGTAGGCTCCCAGCGTAGGGAGCTGCTGTAGAAGATGGACCTGGAGGTCACACGTGGCAATAGGCGGATCTCCTACCAGGACTGAGTGCCATCTTCCGGGTGACACGGGCCGAGGAGTTGTGCTCAGGGGACACGTAATACTTTCTGGCCTTTTCTACACGGAAAATCTATGAACTGAGCCAGGGGCGTAACTACAAATCACAGGGCCCCATAGCAAAATGTTAGTCCTGGTCGGGCCCCGCTGTGACCCCTGGGCCCCATGGGTCACTATGGCGATAGTTCTGCCACTAAACTGAGCCCTGTGGGATGAATCCGTGTGTACAATTCAATATGGCCCTCTAGTTGAACCCGACATGGCCATGGCATGGGTGGGGGGGGGGCCTCGGGGGAAATATTGGGGGTCTAAACAGACCCCTGACATTAGACATTGAGGACACAGAGTCCTCAGAGACACGCAGAGTCCTCAATTTCTTTTTTTCAGCAGCCTCGGCACTCAATGAATGGGAAGCGCTCAGTACAGAGGCTCCTCCCCCATTCGTTCAGGAACTGCTGATGGTAAATATTTGACTATCGAGCAGTTTCTGAATGGGGAGGAGCCTCTGTACTGACTGCTTCTCCCCATTGAGAAAGTCATGAATGAACAGGAAGTGATGTAGATCGCAGCCTGTTCATTCATAACTGGGGACACAGAGTACTATGTGTCCTCAGTTATTTACAAACACCGGAGTGATCAGACGATCGCACACAAAGAGGATCGGTAAATATCACTGAGGCCCCATTCACACTGCGCGATTCGCAAATCGCGCGTTTGTCCCGCGATTTGCATTTGGCGCGATATCGCGCAAATGCTTGCATTGAGCAAGCTGGAATCGCGGCTAAATCCGCTCCAAAAAGGGTCCTGCTGTAGCGACGCACGACCCTTTGCCCCATTGAGAAGCATTGGAGGGCGATATCGCGCGGTAAATTGCCGCGATATCGCGGGAATTACCGCGCAATAAATCGCTAAGTGTGATTGGGGCCTAATAGTTACCGATCCTCCGCTCGGCCACGCACAGAGCCGCTGTCATCCTGAAACTGACAGGAGGACAGCGGCTCCGCCCTCCTCCCCACATGCTGGTCCGTCATGCCGCTCGATCATCGTGATCGATCGGCACGCTCCCCCGCCGGCCATTTTTTTTCAGATTCCCGCTGCCTCAGCCCATACAAGCGGAGGAGAGCAGCGGGGATCGGGCCCCCCCCCCCCCCCCCCCCCCCGGGGCGCGCGGGCCGGTGGGGGG